AAAAAAAAAAAAAAATCCAAAACAAACACCGTCAACACATCAAAGCAGAATTAGAAATGGCAAAGAGAGGGCACATGGGCATAGGCAATATCTGAAAATACAGTACAAGATAATAAGATCATGGGCTATCTCATTCCAGAACATAGATGCAAATACTAAACAGTAAATGTTGGTTTCATTTTAATCCAGAAACACAACTTTGACTTAGTATTTAGAAATCAATCATTGTAATTGACTACACTGTAATGTACTACCAAGCCTTAAAAATATTTTATATACCCACTTAGTAGATGCAGAAAAAATATTTAAAATAATCAGCATCATTCATAAGTTTAGAAATTCCAAATCTTTAAAAAAATTTATAATGGGAGGGAGCTACCTTAATATAAAAGCACCAATAGGTTAAATATGCTAAATTGCTGTTTTTATAAGTCAAAAGTCACCAATTTTAGGTCTCAAAGTGTCTAATTATATGTGCTGGTACTGGTTGGTGCAGTCAGACAAGGAAAAGGAACACAGGAGAAATGGAAAGGAAGATATAAAATATTGTTCACAGAGGATGTGATTACATTTATAGAAAAGCCTTCGCCAGGTACATATGGATGAAAATTAGGAGAGTTTAATATTACTTGATTTTATATGTGTGTATATATTGAATCTATCTAATTAAGTAACCTTAGTATACGCTTTCCTGTCTCCTCCCCATTTTTAATCGATAAAAAGTAATATATATGTTTATACTTCCTCTCTCTTTCCATATATATATATACATATATATATATATATATTTCTTTTTATCAATTAACAAATTAAGAAGGGTAGGATTTCCATACATAATAGCATTAAAACTCCACAAATCAAATCAAACAATGTGTGGGCCAGAAAATTAGCTCAGTGGCTCCATGCTTGCCCAGCAAATGAAAGGTCCAGAGTTCAATTCCTGGTACCAAAAAAAACAAAAAAAAAAAAACAAAAAAAAAACCAAAAAAAAACCCCACGTAACAATGTGGAATGAATTTTAAAACTTCCGTGAAAATTATTAAAGAGATTTTAAATCATTTGAGAGATTTGCCAAATTCATAAACTGGATAGCTCAGTACTGTGAAGGTATAAGTTTCTTCCAATTTATCTAGAGTCTAATTTGTAGCAATCAAAATTCCAATGACTTGGAAATTGATAACTGGTTCTTAAGAGTGTCAAGGACCAGGAAGAGGAAGATCTGTAGCAGTAGAAAGAAGGGCCTTGCACCCCCAGGCAATGGAGCTCATGGGAAAGCAACCGTGACAAAGGGAAGGTGATGCTGGCCCCAGGAGACACAGACACCACACAGAACTCTGTGACACACTCATGGGTAAGGATTCTTACTGCAAAGCTAGAATCCCAGCAGGTCCCTGGGGGAGGACAGATTTTCAGTAGTGTTGAAATGGGTAAAGTCAGCCAAAGATTCATACTATTTGAGCTACAGAGCGGATGTGCAGGGGAAAGCATGCAGAAGAAAACTGTATTATTTCAAAGTAGAGAACGATTTTTAAAACAAGAAAAAAATCTCCAAACTTTAGGGAAAGTGTTGCTATATTTGAGAAGAATCCTTAAAGATCTCTTTAAACGTAGGAAATGAGCCGGGCGTGGTGGCGCACGCTTGTAATCCCAGCACTCTGGAGGCTGAGGCAGGAGGATCTCTGTGAGTTTGAGGCCAGCCTGGGCTACATAGTGAGTTCCAGGTCAGTCTCAACTACATAGTGAGACCCTGTTTCAAAATACAAAAACAAAAACAAAAACCCAAAAAACAAAAGTATGAAACGACAAGCCGTATAGTGGTAGATGATATTTGTAAAATATATTACCTAACTCTATGAAGATTATATCTAGGATGTATAAGGAACTTATATAAAAATCAATAAGGAAAAATCCAACTTAACAGAAAAATGAGTACAGATTTTAGACATCTCTGGAGAGGCCATCAACCTCATTAGGAAAAAAGTGAGATAAAACCCAAACCCCAGTGAGACATCACCAAATATTCCAGGGTCTCTGAAGGAAACTCTTGGCCCTGTTCTCCCAAATCTTAGTTCTCGGGGTTCCCCCCCACCTTGTGGGTGTTTTGTTTTGGTTTTTCTTTTTTGGGGGGTTGGGGGAGACAGTTCTCGCTACGTAGTGCAGGCTGGCCCTGAACTCACTGTGTAGCCCAGACTAGCCTCGAGCTCATGGTGATCCTCCTGCCTCAGCCTCCCATCTGTTCGGATTAGGATTACAGGAGTGCACCACCACACCTAGCAGTTCACAATTTTTATTTTGCTCATTTTGAGCATTTGTGGGTATGTTGGTCAAGTCCATTTATCTTTGCCTTTCTTGTGCCTTCTCAGTTGATTTAAAAACACAGTAATAGCTAAACATGGTGGCCCATGCCTGTGGCATCAGCTACGTGGGAGGCTGAGGCAGGAGAATCACAAGTTTAAGGCCAGTCTGGGCAATTTAGTGAAAGCCTGTCTCAAAATAAAAAATAAAAAGGAACAGGGAAGTAGCCTGGTGGCAGAATACCCTTGGGTACAAGCCCCAATACTTCAGAAAGAAAAAAAAATGATGTTATGTATTTGCCCTTCATTAGAAACGAGAAGACATCTCATAACACATCTGCTTTACCTGGCTCCTTACAGTTGCTTTAAAGACTTCCTCAGGACCTGGGATTTGGCTCAGTGGTTCCACCACTTGCCTCACAAGTGCAAGGACCCTGGGTTCAAGTTCGATCCCCAGTACAAAAAGAAAATCTAGATCTAGCCGTGCTTTTAGCTCGTTTGCACTACACCTGCCTTGCAAGTGCAAGGTCCCAAGTTCAAACCCCAGTACCACTGGGAAAAAAAAATCTAGATCTTGCTTGGAGTTGGCTGTATTTTTTTGGACAGTTACCCAATTTGGGTTCCTTTTGAATGGAGCAGTCCTGCTCCCCAAGTCAAACCAAAGAGTGCTGGCCCCATAGGTTCTGAGATTCCACCCAAGCGTCACCCTCGTGCTCAGACACCCTAACCCCCAGTGCACAGGATACCCGTTGAGTGCACTGGGTTCAACCACACGGGGCCAGAGCACAGCGGTCCTTCTCAGCCCGCCCCAGGTTGGACTCCACTCTGGTTTGCGCATCCCTCGGATGAGTCGTTCTCTGCTGCAGTCAGGCTCTCTCCACTCCAAGACCCGGCCTCAGAAAGTCTAGTCTGGTAGCTTCCCAAACTGCCTACCTGCCTTGTCCCGGATGCCCACATTGGCTCTGCCAGTCTGAATCTCTTCCCTCTTCCTTCCTTTTACTGTCCTTCGGGTTCACAGCATTGCTCACCATAGTCTCTGTATGACATCTGTTCTGGGACTCTAGAATGGCATTGACAGGGACTGCCAGAGTAGGAACTACCATGTGTTAGTAGTATATAATGTGTACATTCCTTCTGGGGAGCTGGTACATGTATCTAACACGTCTTTTGCACCCCCTTTCCCTTCCTCCCTTCCTTCTCCGTCCATTTCTGGATGGTCTCCCTACAATCAGCATGAATCCTTTCAGAGAGTAGATGCTTGGGAGAACAAAAGAGGCAGGGAACACAAGTTCTCACTTATGATGATTTATTCTTTCCACATTCCTAAACAAGCTAAGGTACATATCTTTTAAATTTACTAAAAGACTAAAGTAAGTAAAACCAGAAATTGACCTCTTTTTACTTTTCTTCACCATGTTATAATCCCAACTATTTCTCTTTGGGGTTCTTTTACATTTTAAAATCTCTATTCCAATGCTGTGTTCCCTGTACTGGGTAACCATAGAGGACGCTAGGCCTTGCAACTTGTTTTACAATATAGTAAACTTAGTAAACAGGAACAGGTGACCCATGTCTTTCATAAACTTAGGTCCTACATCTAAATAAACTCTTTAAAACGAATGCAATGGAAAAACAGAAAACAGGACATAAATCTACAAGTACTTATGAATAACAGAAACACGAAACATTCACCTTGGTTCCCCAAGCCCACCTTGCTCCCCACTACTCAGAAGTGAGACCTGCCTCATTGCTCGCACTAACGCTGGGTGGCTCTGCTGGCTCTGGCCTCGGCAGCAAGAGCTCTCCCAGCTCTTGCTGCAATTCTGGCTTGGACTCTCTCGTGTTCTTCTCTCAGCGCTTCCTCATACTGGGAAGGGAAGTTAGTGGGATCCATATTACTGAGCTTGGCCAAAAACTCCAGGACTAGCATCTTGCTGGTCTCCGCATAGGCTCTTGGACCCCACAGGAACTCATATTGGGGAGGATAACTATCGGCTATCTGGCGGTACACCAGGTATTCTTCCTGCACCAGATCTTTGGTGATGAACTTTCTGGGATCCCCAAAGATGAAGTGCTGCTTGCCATCATACACCCCCAGCATATTCAGGGACTCCCACACTTCTGACTCGGTGGCACGGTTGCCATTCATGAAGATCACACCCAGGAGTGGCATCAGGAGCCCATTCTTGGGAAAGCCCCAGCCTTCACTCACACTTTCTTCGCTGGAAAGATACATCTTGCTGACGAGGACATAGGAGTGACCAGTGGGGCCTATTTCCTTCAGGTCAAGGCCAAAGATCAGCTCCAGGCGCTCAGTGGCTTTCTGGAGGATTTCACGGAAGTTCTTCTTATGCTTTCTGTCGATGACCTTCAGCATATCTGCCTTCACAACGAGCTCTTTCATCTTGTACTTGTGCAGTAGGAAGTGCACCAGCATGTTCACCACCTTGCCCAGAGGATCTCCTTTGTCTTTCTCCAGGGCATACAGGATGGCAAAGCCTGGGCATTGCCCCTCTGGGCAACTGGCACCTTTATCGGAGCTCAGAGCTGGAGCAAGAGAGCTGGTGGCTCCGGCCATCTGCGGCTCCTGGGGACCGCCTACAGCACTGGTGCTGGGGGAAGAGGTCTTCGGACCAGCAGAGGACAAGGAGGGTGACTTCTCTTCAGCTGCTTGGGACTGAGCATCCTGGAGACGCCGACTCTCTTCTCGGGCCTGGCGGCGTTTCTCACGGGCACGGAGCTTACTCTTCTGACCACGAGGCATGGTGGTTGTGCTCAGGTGGGCACCTGGAGGTGGAGGAAAAGGGGGGTGAGCCCCTTGCTTTAAGAAGGCCCTGGTGGGAGGGGTACCTTTTGCAGTTGGGAAGGGGACCTAGCACTGGATGACAAGGGGGAGGGGCAGCGACAAGGACTAAGATCGCAGCATGCATTCATTATGTATGACAAACATATATGAATAAGACAAAAAAAAAGGCCCCTGTGTAGATGTCCTCGATGGTCCTACTCTAGGATGTCACGAGGCTCCTATTCTCCTGATCAGCCCCCTCTGTGGAGCCTATGGAGGAAGTAACAGTGGACCTTAAACTGTAGTCCAGCCCCACCTGGGTCCACTCTTCTTGGACCAAGACCCTGGCTTCCCTGTTTCACCTGAAGAGGAACCAGGGAGCCTTGGCCTGACATCTATGCCCAGAGCCTCCCAGAGCTACCATGGGGAGAGATTCTGTGGTCTCTACTAATATGGGGGAGGTGGTCTCCATATTTTCAGGGTCCTGGCTCAATGTGTCATACACCCTCTGCCCATTCAAGGCCTCTCCCTTCAGGTCAAGGTCCTCCACTTCCTGAGAACCCCGCCCCCGCAAGGTGAAGACAGCATGGATCACCTCTGACCAACCACCCTGCTCATGGTCCCCTTGTATTGGTAGCAAGATCTGGACTCCTGGAGTCTCTTGATGTCCTGGGGTTGGTGGCCCTGTTAGTGCTCACTCAGCCGGGATATGGGACTTGTCCCTCGGCCCACCTGAGTCCTCCAGCCTGAAGCAGTTCCCTTGAACCTAAAGTTCTCTGCCTCCTGAGATTCCCTGACAGGAAATGAGTATGTCTCACCAAGTCAATGTACCCGGGGCTCCCAGATATGATATGACAGGAGGGGTGGTCTCTACATGGCTACTTCTAGCTGGAGGGGGTCTCTCATCTCACGCAGCATTCTGACTGTGACCACTCTTAGCTCTAAATCTCCCTCTAGTGAAGGGGGCCTCACCCATTCGTGCAATGAGTCCATCTTTCTAGATACCACCTTTCCTTCAGGAAACGAGTCAACTCATCCCAAAAGCTCTGCCATGGCTTCCTGGGCCCTACAGGAGAGGTGAGACTATGAAGCTTTCTCATACAGGAGCTTTATCCTTGCTCCCACAGGAGACCTAGACTCCTTTCTCTGCTGAACTGGGGCAACTAGGTCCCTATCACTGAAACCCAGAGGTGGAAGTCAGGGGGCACCCAAACCTGTCAGCTGGACCTAACAGGGCTAACCCAAGGGGCAGAGCTCAGTTTAGATCTCTCCACTGGCAGCCAAAACATCCTCACTTTCTAACTCAGGATCTTCACCCTGGTACCTGACCAGTCCTGGGATTCTATCCTCAGTTGACCCAAGACCACATTCCTCCTACCGAGGTCCTTGCTTAAACAGGAACTCAAGAGTTGGAAGCTCAGGTTAAACCACCTCCTATCAACACTGACAGGGATAGCAGGGCGTGTGGTGCACACCTGTAACCCCAGCAGTTGGGAGGCTGAGGCAGGAGGATCACCGCGAGTTCAAGGCCAGCCTGGGCTACATAGTGAGTTCAAAGCCAGCCCGAACTACATAGCAAGACCCTGTCTTAAAAGACAAAACAAAGCAAAAACAAAAGCAAACAAAAAAAGACGGATAAGGGAGGGCAGTACCACACAGAAGGAGTGGCAGTCTATGGGACCGCTCTGAACTTGACTCAGGGTAAGACCTCCAACTCTTCACTCCTGGGACCCCAGTCAGCCAGGTCCAGATGAAAGCCTTCACTTTTGCAGAGTTGCGGGGGCGGGAGGGCTAGGCACGCCACATTTGGCCATACCTGCCAGAGATCTCCCTATTTTGACAGCAGGAGCCTGGCTCTAGTTGCCATCTCCTTTTTTTGTTGGTTTGTTTGTTTTTTGTTTGTTTTGTTTTTCTTTTTAGACAGGGTCTTGCTATGCAGCCCAGGGTGGACTCGAATTTGCAGTGATCCTCCGGCCCTCAGCCTCTTGGGCACTGGGTTAACAAACATGGGCCACCACAACGGGCCTTGGCTCCCTCTTTTGAGAAGTCCCATTAACGTTCAGGGTTCTCACGCCCGTCAGGGCTCTAGGTCTCTTTCACTCTGCTACCCCTTTATACTAAGCTCTGTGCTTTCAGAGCTCCTGCAGCCAGAAGTCAAAACCACAGCTTCCCAGACTCTCCCGTGACAGAGGTGGTAACGGCAGCCACGTGGGCGGCAGCTGGGGTGGGGGTTGGGGACGGCAACATGGCGGCGTGAGCCCTGACCCGTTCCCCTGGCTATGTGAGGGTGGGTAATCCCTTCGGCCCACGTTCATAGTCATTACCTTGACACCAGACTAGTCCCGAAGCTCTCCTGGTCACCGACTTGAGGACCCACCTCTTAGATCTACGTCTTCGATGTCCGATAACTTCAAGATGGACGGAAGCAAGCGAACTACATCCGGGCAAGTCTGCGGGGCGCAGGCGGGGATCTACGGGACCCCACGAGTATCAATCCGACCTTGAAACTTTGCTTTCCACCACAGTGTTACCACTCAGGCTGTAGCTTCCCGGAGTTACTAGAGTGAAAGCTTGTATCAACCACATTTGGCCATCCCCGCCTATGGTTCCCAGGGCTGGCAGGAAGTCAGGGATTCCTATTGGACACCGCTTTTGGGAAATAAGGCCCCGAATTAATACTCAGGTTCTTCTTAGGCCTCCAGTTAGGGCCCAGATCTTCTCTCAGCACCACCGGTGCTGTCGCGCTTAGGCTAAGTCTATCCCGTCAAGGATGCCCGTATGGACACGTAAGCATAATAATTAGCCTTGCTGTGCATCTCCTAGTGCTAATGCCAGGGCAGAACTTTGTAGTGTCCCCTTCCTTAAGGGCAGGGTGGCCCCTTCAGCCCACATCCAGGATCCTTACCTTGCTACCTCAGCAAGGTAAACTCAGGAATTGCACTGACTTAATATTGCTCGCCCCCCACCCCCACCCCAAGGTCCTCACCCTTCTGAAACTTGCAAAGCAGAGATCAAAGTGCGCCAGCCATACGTGGCCAAGACTTTAGGGTCTCCCAGGACAGCCCACAGGAGTGGGACTCTATGCAACCCCACAGAACCCCATCATCATCCATGCCTGGGACATTTCCTTCTATTGAACTCAGATCACCAACATCAACCCTCCTGGGATGGAGAATTCCGGAGACCCTACATCTCACTGCCTTTGCCTGGGACCCCAGTCCTGACAATGAGGGATAGGACTGTGGTCTCCTCTTTTGGGAGAAAGACACTCTCTTTCGTCTTCAGGATCCTCCCTGGCTCCAATTAGAGTCTAGGTCTCCTTCAGCTAACACTTTTTTTTTCTCATTGAGTTTATTGGTACATTTTAGGTATACAGTACAGTTACATTCATCATTGGGATCTTGTACCTTTACACGACAGGTCTTGGTTCTCATTTTTTCCCCTTGTCCCTGCTGTTCTTTCTTTGGTTTTTTGAGACAGGGTCTCACTATGGAGTTGAGACTGACCTGGAACTCACTATGCAGCCTAGGCTGGTCTTGAATTCACAGCAGTCCTCCTGACTCAGCCTCCCAAGTGCTGGGATTACAGGTGTACACCACCACGCCTGGCCTGTCCTTTTTAAAAATAGCTCTATACATCTTGTTCATAGAGTCTTTATGTGTTTTTTGTACAGTACACTTTGCTTATACACTACTATAATTTTTCTGATTATACTGTATAGTGGTTTTATGTGCTGTTAAACATTTTCCCCTTGTCCCTGCCCTCCCTTCACCCCTCCTACCCTCCCCATTTACAAACACTTTATTTCCATTTTTTCATCATCTCAAATTTTTTTCTTTTTCCTTGTTACCTTTCCCTTACACACCCACTTTCCCTACACCTCTACCCTTTTCTTCCTATTTCACATTGTTAATTATCCCATTAGGATCTTGTGTACTATTATAGTTTTTCACACCAGAGAAACTATTCAGTATTTGTACATGTGTGACTTATTTCACTTAGGAGTATATCCTCAATATGTATCCATTTTCCTATGAATGAATCTAATTTCTCATTTTTATGGCTGAGTAGTATTCCATTTTATAGGAAAACCACATCTTCTTTATCCAGTCTCCAACTGATGGGCGAATGGGCTGTTTCCAAGTTTTAGCTATTACAAACTGTACCACTATAAACATAAGTGTGCATATATCACTGTGATATGATTCTTTTAATTCTTTTGGAAAGACACCCAGCAGAGCAATGGCTGAGTCAAATGGAACCTCTAGTCCCAGCTCTTTGAGGTATCTCCATATTGATTTCCATACTGGTTGCACCAGTCTGCACTCCCACCAACAATGGAGAAGGGTTCCTTTCTCCCCACAACCCCACCGACATTTGTTATTGTGTGATTTCTTGATAGCAGCCATCCTTTGTGGAGTGAGGTGAAATCTCAGTGTTGTTTTCTTCTGCATCTCTCGAATGCCCAGTGATGTGGAACATATTTTCATATATTTACTTGCCGCTTTTACTTCTTTGTCGGAGAAATGTCTGTTCATTTTAGGTGCCCATTTTTGAATTGGGTCTTTATATTTGGGGGGGCTGATTGTTTTGAGTTCTTTATATATTCTAGATAACAGTCCTTTGTCTGAGGAGTAGCTGGTAAAAATGGTTTCCCACATTGTAGGTTGTCTTTTAGTTCTGTGGATGGTTTCTTTTGCAGTGCAGAAGCTTTTTAATAAGGTGAGATCCCAGTTATTGATTCTCTCTGCTAGTTCCCATGCTACTGAGGACTTGTTCTTGAAGTCTTTTCCTATGCCAGTGTCTTCAAGAGTTCTGCCTAATTTATCTTCCAGCAAGTTTAGTGTTTCTTTTTTAATATTTAGATCTTTAATTAACTTGGATTTTAGTTTAGTGCATGGTGAAAGGTAAGGGTCCAGTTTTAATCTTTGGCAGGTTGAAATTTACTTTTTCCAACACCATTTATTAAAGAGGCTATCTTGCCTCCAGTGAGGATGGTCGGCTCTTTCATCAAAGATGAGGTAGCTGAGTACAACTGGTGTTGTTTTTGTATCTTACAATCTGTTCCACTGATCCTCAGACCTGTTTCTTTGCCAGTACCGTGCTGTTTTTATCACAGTGGCTTTGTAGTATAGTTTCAAATTGGGAATTGTTATAACCCCTGCCATGTCTCTGTTGCATAGAATGGCTTTTGCTATTCTAGGTCTCTTCTGGTTCCAAATGAATTTTTCGATTCTTCTTTCTAGTTCTGTGGAGTATAGTGTTGGAATTTCAATCGTCAGGTAAACTCTTTGATAGTCATTCCCTTCTTTGAATCTCCAGGCAGAAATAAGGAGCACTCTTCTCCACCTGGTAGGACTAAAACCAATGTATTGGGAATGTGTGACCCTGTCTTCTGGTGGTGGCTCCCTCATGCCACTCAGGATACCTACCTTGACTCCTATTACCTAGTGCGGCTCCACTTTCTACCTAACTCGGAGGTCACCCCCTTTAGACAAAGACCCTCCTCTCCTTGAGACTTCCTAGGCCAAAATAAGAATCTATTCAAACTGACAATTATGCCTGGATTTCCTAGGTCACAGGGGTACCAGGGTGGGGGAACTGGGAGTTCATGGTGCTTCTGGACAGGTGGTTCTCTCCTTCTACCTTAAGATTTCCCACCTTGGCATCTCACTAGTCTTCAGACTCTTCCCTCAGTAGACCTGAGCTGATCACCTCAGACTGAAGTCATAACGTTCTTGGGACCACAGAGCTGGTGGCAAGAATGAGTCAAATCCAGCCCAACTGTCCCAGACCTCCAAGGGCTAATAGACAGAGTGTGTGTGTGGTGGGGGGATCCTATAGGATCTCACTCTTCTGGCTGGGTTCTTCCCCATTCATCCTCTGGGATTGCCACTTTGATATCTATCAGATGCTCACAGTCCTTCCTCTCCTGACTTGGGTTTATCCTCAGATCAAGCCTCTCATGTTTCCGAGGACCCTGAAGGATAATTGGGGTGTTCGGCCTCACAGCTGCACCTGTGGCTATCAAGATCTGAAAATAGCAATAGGTTGGTTTCTGGGACTCCCTACGTTCTGGGATGTTGACTCCCTCCTCTTCTTTTGCAGGGCCCCACATCTTGGGACCTGTCCCATTGTTTATCAGATTCCTGGGAAATGACAGATGCCTGCAAACTCTTGAGCAGTTTCCCCACTGCAAAACCCTCGAGGAGCATAGTTCCTTGCTCCAGGCATGGTAGTGGAAGAGGAAACTGTATCCCAAGGCAGGGGGCCCAGGACAGGCAGGAGACTGTCAAGGCCAGCTGATCTAGTCGCCTTCACCAGCCAGATTTAGCCTCGGTGGCAACTTCTAGTCTAAGAAATTCGCTTTCTACTGAGAAATGGCAGAGCCACATGATTTTATGAGGCTTATCTTTTCAGGTGAGTTGACATCGCAAGTGTGGATGAGTTTCTGGTTTCCAGGGATTGTCTCTTCCTGTTTATTGCTCATATTTCTCATTTATTTTGCTATCCTTACTGCTCTGGCTATGGATTCCTAGCCAGTAGTTTTTATACAGTGTCTTTCTTCTCATTACCAGAGAGACAGTGTGGAGTAAGGAAAAGAAAAGTGAGTAGTTTTATTTTAAATTGGCTGCTGGCAAAAAAAAAAAAAAAAGTCTTTCCATGGCTTTCCACAGAATTTTTCCTATTTCCTAATTAAAATGAATCCCTTGAGTAGGGTTGGCCACTCACTGGGATGTACATTGAGAAGCTCTCAGAGCAGCCACCTGTCTGTGGTGATGGGCCTTGGAGCCATGCCCCTTTCCCCGCTTGTCTGCAATGGGCTTAATCCTTTTTATGATGGCGCATTAGGGCAGTGTTAGTCGGTGCTGCCAATCCTTGCATGTTCCTGCCATTCGGCTTTGCTAATTGGACAGCCGCCTCTTATGGACTCTGACCTCCGTTCAGTTGTTTGCACCTCACTAACCTTCTGGAGACACTCAGCGGCCACGGCCCTGGAGCAGGGACTCAGGTACAGCTGGAAAAATTGTCCTGGCATGGGAAGACAGTTTTGCTGTTGGTCAGTGAGTCTGAGCTCCACGAAGAGCAGTTATGCTTTTTTTTTTTCTATTTGCAGAAATCATGGTCTTTTAAAAATTTTTATAAGCACATAATGATTACATTCATCCTGGGGAGTTGGTACAGGTACATCTTGATTCTTTTTACGTCCCCTCCCCCAGTCTCACGGTTTGACAGTTCTACTGGGAATTATAAGTAAGGTAAATATTAATATTGGCCTAAAAGGCAGAATCGATGAGCTTTAGCTCTTCCTGTTTAACTTTGGCGGCTGGTGCTGTAGGCTGTGGTTGTGAGAAACTAACAAGATAGGATTCTGGAAAGGGCATTTTGTGCTTTTCTTTCATTAGTTGAGGCACTGTAATAAATATGAGGGACAACAAGAAAGCAAGA